TCTGATTTATGGTTGCCAACTCAAATATACTTAGCTTGACCTTGGATTATATACTTAAAAATTTGTATTCCAATGTTATTGATTAAAGATTACTGATTTCTAGACGCTTAAACCCATGTTTGTGGATTTGACAAGGTTGTGGATTTGACAGTATTAAGCCAAGAGGTCGCAAAATAAATACATACATGAATTTCTCCCGTTCGACAAACTCCTTCGTGTTTCCTCCACACAGTATTTAAGATTATAATTCGTTCAACAGATAAAGTCGTTAACAATAGCAAAATATTCCATGATTACTAATGAATGAAGCTATACCATTAAAATTAAATACTTACATCAGTTTTACATATTCTATTAAGTAATTGTCATTATTAATAGGAATGTTATTATTTTATCTAAATGAACTTTTTTTAGTTCATCTATATTGGGGAAAATATACTTATAAAAGGATTGTTTGTTTGAAAATACGCTTGAAACTTTGTATAAAGTTGAAACATTTATTGCCGGGAATAAAATTGTTCCTGTAACATTTGTTACTCATATTGAACATTTAAGGTTGCATATAAGTTCAAACTTTAGAACTTTGACATATAATACAGTGTTTTTTTGTGGTTTTCACTAGTCACGATCATAAAGTGAATATAATTTTCTAAGTTTAATTATAATTTCATTAAATATATTAGGAATGTGACTAAATACTCGTGATCATTTAAATTGTAATTTTGTTTCTTATAGAATCAATTTTATGACAGTTTCATAGAAAAAACTGTTAGATATTAATATAGTAATGTAGAACTTTTAATACGATTTGGTATATATTACATTGGTGTTATATATTAACGTTTAGATCTGATAAGCGTTGTATAAATAAAAATAATATTTAAATATTTTTCAAAAGAAAACTTTCAGAACAAAACGATTGCGTGTCGTGGTTCTGTTGCGTGATCGTAAAAAAATATTTTGAAAGGTCTAGCAGTCCAAAGTGAAACAAACGTTTTTCTTTTGTGGATATCTCTTTGATATTAGTATTGTGTTTTATAGAATTAATATATACGTATATATTTAATCATGTTATGTTAATGTGTCTGCATTAAGTTATTGAAGATCAGTTTTACATGTCTCAAAGAGCAGACGGCCTACCTAATGGGAAATAGTTAGTTTTTGTACAGACGGCTCAGAGGATCTAGATAGTATGTGAGCATTGGATTGTTAATAATAAAAAGGGCACATCGTTGTATGGAGTCAAGTGGAAGAAGTTGGTATTGTAGGGCACCAAACTAGAGGTGAGAATAATACTTTATGTGGGGTCAAACCTGTGCTTTATATAATAAAAGCTAGTGTCCCTTTGTGAAGTATTGCCTCGCTCTACTCAGTACTCATAGTTTTTTAGAGGCTTGTTTAGCATTACCCTCCAAATGTCTCTGAAATTGTTCGCTATGTCAATCCCGTGGAACCCAATACTCTGGTTGATCTTAAGGTGGATGTTCTGGAATTTTGTTTGTGACAGCCATAATTTTGGTTCAAGTTAAGGTAATGATGGACCATAGTTTGAATTAAGGGTCGAGTTTTGTATGTCGCTGGCACGGAGCACGGAAGAGCCCCCGAATCAATCCGCCGTTGCAAACTGGGTTTCACTCCGGTCTCGCACTTCGGCACCGACAGGCTTTTGTCATTGGCGGTGGGAAAGCCTCCTATTTCGAGACAATCTAGGTTCGGGTCGGGTACCAACGGGCGGTCAGCGGTAAACCGTTTCATCGGGTCTGCCTTGACCCAATGATAATGAAACACGCTCAATACCTTTAAACGGCCTTAAGCTAATGCACGACAGAAGTCAATGCACATATCAACATCCCTGAAGAGGAAGGGGTGGGAAAAGGGAAAGGGTAACCGGATCCCACGCTCATAGGACGAAACGGAGCCGTGTAAGATTACTTCAAGCCGATCTTCTGTAAGGGGTCGTACTTCCCCGGTTGAGCCAGCCCAGGTTCGAGCTATAGTGACTGACGAGAGCCAGGCACTACCATTTACTGAATACCACTTACATAAGATTATTCATTGCAATTATATCAAAAACAATTCATTGAATTTTTAATAATTTATTTTGTACTTGAATAATACAAAATTAGGATTGGATAGTAAAAGCCATTATTATATATCTGTACTTTTGTTTCTATCATGTAGTAGATTTAATGAAGTCAAATTTATACAGTATAAGACAATTATTAAAAAAAAATATTACACCTAAAAAAATACAATAAAGGAACCTAATTGTTTAAAAATATCCAACCTAATAAAGACATCTCTGTTCAATAATAGAAAGATAAAAAATCCAATCAAAGCTCCAATTAATTAGAAACAGATTAATGTTTTACCTAAATTGACCTTCCTTTTTTAATGGAAATATTTCTATAAAGGTAATAAACTTGTGGCTTATTGTATTTGTTTAAGGGTGGATGCTCGTTTTGTTTCTAAATTGGGAACGATAAACAAGGACTATTATATCTGTAAAATTAGTAATTAAGAAGGAGAATCAATTAATTCGTAGATCTTTAATTTAGTTAAATGTTTTAGGAGCAGTATTGTAATTGCTATTTCAAATATTTGAAATACATAAATCGGATACTTTTCTTAAGATAATTCTGTTATACATTTTTTATAGAAAATTCAGTATTACGACGTTGATATACAGATGTACTTTTATCAACTGTTGCCTAATTAGGTCAATTGAAGTATCTAAATTAAACAACGTACAGATGTATATAAATAATCAAATCAGTCCTACATTTACTTATTGTGAATCTTAATAATTAGTTATAAGATAGTATCAGATACTACAATTTGTACTTGCTTTGAAATTGACAAACATTATCGATCTCACCATGTACAAGATAGAACAATATCCTATATTTTGAATATGTGTGGGTAGGAAAGCGTCTTACATTTACGTTATTACATTACTCGTAGGAAGATATGGAATTTAATTTCACTACGGAAAAGGACGTCCTTAATAAATGAGGTTCTAGGACGACTGTAAGCAAAAAATCAATTCGTTGGCATCCAGCCATCTGCAGTACTGACTTGTTACGTTCTACACCAGTATTACTCCATTTATTTGAGAACTACATTTTGACTTTATATTCGTTACCTTTTCCAATTTATATTTTTGTTTCGTTCATTGCATTTTTCATTTTTATTGCCTATCATTTTTAGTATCTATACTTTAGTTAACTGTTACATTAATACCGATATCTCTGTTTTAGTTAATTAAAGATTTTTCATCTAATGTAAAAGATTTGTAATTCGATAATTGGATCCTGTTCAATAAAATAGTGCATGAACCTTTGTTTTCATTTTATTTCGTATTATATTTTTCCATAAACATGCACAAACTTACAAGTCCACTCAAAGTCACAAATTTTACCATATATAACATTTGTAAGGTAAGATTTAGTTTATAACGCAGGCGTAAATCGTACCTTGAAGAAAAATAAATTGTATATCGTGTCAACGGTACATATTTTCATTTCGTTAATGTTTTTCATGCAATCGTTAGACTAATATGAATATTTAACGATGCAGGTACGGAGCTAAATGCTCATTTAGTATGAATGTTTTCAACGTCGCTTTTCAAAATTAAAAATGACTTGCTCTTTTAATCCGCCGAGATGTCTATAAAAAGATATTTTAAGTATAACGTTTGTAGTGAGAGCAAGCAACTTTATCTATGTAATATGTTAAACAACCTCGTAGTAGTAGATTAAAAAATTGTGTAGTTTTTTATGGTGCATTTTTTTAATTTTGCAATATAAGATCTACATAGAAGCAGCACTTAATGAGCATTTTTTAAATTTATAAGTTGATTGCTAGAATCTTTAAAGCTTTATTAACCACTAGCAAATCTATTCGATCTGAACATGTAGACTAGAAAGAAAAAACTCACTCACTCATCATTACAAGACTTTTATAAATAACGTAGGCAATTTCAAAAAATTACATTATCTACAGAACCATCAGCTGAAATGTTAATTTAATTTAAAAAATACCAAAAACCGATGTTATAAGAAATTAATGAAATTCAAAAACGGCTCCTCGACTACATGTAATTCAGAATTGGCTTCAAAATGCCTTTTATTGCTTTAAGTAACTAAAAAGCCGATTTGAATATTTAAATCAGTTCGGCTCTTCGCTTTCTCTATAAAAGATATCCAGAATCAGAAGTATATTTGAACAAAAATATAGAAAGGTTTCGAATTTTTTCTTCAATTTAAGTTTCAGACTAAAATATTTGCAATTTTTATTTTTTAGGCAGAATACCGATTTTAGGTTAAACCAATTTATATACATTTTTTTAAATATTTATTTATCTGCATACTGTATAAAACAGTGATATATATGATTTTTAAAATTCGAAAAGTCGTGTGTTAAAAATCATGGTAATTTCTATGGTTAGAATTGTCAAAAATATCATAATTTGTGCCAATATGAAGACTTGCATAGTTGTATAGGACTTGTCCCAAATAGTCCGAAGGAACTTCAACTAAGCTGTAGTTTTAGCTTCTTGTCTCCCTGTCCCCACTTTAATCTTAACCATAGGATGTCATTTCATTTTCTTCTGTTTCGAAATAACTAAAATAGCCGCCTATCAAACTTTGAAGAAGATCCCCTAATCAAATTTTGATGCTCCGAACAAGTGCAAACTACACTCTATCGGTGGAGCCCTCTAGAATGGGGCGGTGTTAGTTCAAATGCTCTACGTACCAATGATTAAATTGCTAGATTTGTTTCCCCTGGATCACATGTTGAGAAAACGCGTCCAACCAAACAAAAAAATTACTCTCGAGCCAACTCACATACGAACTCCTATTAAAAATAACAGCTGAACTTAATCCACATGTATTTAACATTTACAAAGTGGAGTAATTATTAAAAGACTTTAGATTGAAAGTTATTATGTATTTTAAATAATCCCTCATGATTTTTTTTATTTTTTACAGGTAATCATGAGGATTACTGATTCGTCTGATAATGGTAATTTACCTTGTGACAATGTGAATAGTGGTTCCCACAATATTGAAGCTGGACGTTGGACAGAAACAACAAGAGAGGATATAAATAATACAAATAGATTTATTACAAACAATATTATTGATAACAGAAATTACAATACAGATAACATACACGATATAAAAAAATCAAATATATGCCACAGTGAATGTAAGCTGAATAATAATGAAAATTCAACAGACTCCCTTAATATAACAAATCTGGAGAAGGATCGACAAACACAAACAAAGCGTCGTAATAATGCTTTAGGTAAGTGAATAATGAAGTAAAATTCACAAAATAGGTTTATTTTCAAGGCTCTTCTTTTATAAATCTATATTATATAATATATGAATAAATTTTTCGTTATATTCAAGCTTTAGTGGCTTTATTTAGATCGCTTTAAGTCTATTAAATGCCAATAATTCAATTAGTGAGCAGCGGATCGACAGGCGATACTTGTTATTTTACTTATTAGTTAAAATAAATATTTTGATGTGGATGAATCTTTGTAACCATAACTAGTGATATAGAACTCTTCTGATATATATTGACTTATAATTAATAAGTAAAATAAAACGATAATGCTATAAATAAATTCCAGCTGAAACATACATTATTCCAAAGACTCAAGTTCTTGGAGAAAAACGATATATTGAGCATTCAGATTCAGATGAAATGTCTGAAAACAGCGTTCACCACGTGCCTCGAGGAATCGTGAATCCTAACTACCCAGGATTTCAACATTTGGCCCATACTTTACAGGTTACAATTTCAATCCAAAAACATTACTGAGATTTTATTAAAAGAAATGTCTATTTTTTCTAATTAAAAAACAAAATCACTTAAAGTTCGTTGCTATATTTATATATATATATATATATATTTATGTATATATATATATATATATATATATATATATATATATATATATATATATATATATATATATATATATATATATATATATATATATATATTACCAACATTTTCTAAATGTGTCTAAAACCTTGTATGGTACTTAAAGGTTTTTTTAATTCTTAACAGGATTATTCTTCAAATATTGAACAGTTCTATCCTTCGGATAATGAGATGACGGACGACGATTTAGATGTAGAGATTACATCAGAAACTACCATCGACATAACAGAAACAATTGATGACAAAATTATTATTAACAATAATAATAAAAATAACAGTTCGGTTTCAAAAAATCCTTTCATTAATGAAACCACGCAGAACGATATACCTGATTTATTGAAAACAGTGACCCTAAATAACAACAATGATCCCTCTCAATACGAACTCAACAACTGTTCAGCAACAGATATAGAAAACAACTTCAGAGCGAAAGATATAATAGGAGATTTCAATAAAGAAGTAGAAGATGAAATAAGACAGCTCTTGAATTACAACATCAATATAGAGGATGATTTAGAGGAATTGAGAAGAGATATAAAAGATAAATTCGCAAAACCGATTGAAAACACATTGAATAATATAAGCGATGTTGTCAATCATGTTATAAAAAAGTTAGTGGAGAACGAAGATTGCGATAGAAGTGACACGTCTACACCAGACATCATCATTGATCATGAAATGGAAGATATAACGAAAGCAAGCAGGGACAACGAAACAAACACTAGGGCGGAACTGTCGATAAATAGGCCTACATTCCTATTGATCGATAACAAAGACGTTCCAATATGTGACGCACTCTTATCTGACGGTAAAGAAGAAATAAATATTAACGTCGAAGAATACGACACCGAGCATTTAACTCATAACGTCGAAAATACCATAAAACAATTGAGTACCGAGCTACGTAAAATTATACCCAAGTTGAATGAAATGCGCGAAAGAGACAAACTATGGGGAGATAGAAAAAAAGAAGTACCCATTAAAGATGGAAATTCCAACACTCTAGTGCAAAATTCCTCTGCAATTACTTATGATACTAATAATTGTTCACAAAATCGTAACGGAAACAACAGGGGAAAGGCGACGAATATTTCAAATACAAATCAGCGTTCAATTAGAGCTCATATGTGAGTATGATTTATTTATATTACCAAGTATGTAAAGATTACAGATAAAATATTCCTAGTTTATTAAAAAAAAAATTGTCTATGGCTCCTATATATTTTTTGAAAAATATAATTGTGACAAATCGTTTTTTAACATACCATTCTTATTATTCATATTAAAATGCGGCTTACGGTGGATTAATATCTAAGTTAGAATAATAACTTAAACTAAGCACACTGTTGGTTGTAAAATTGGTCGCTAAATAAGTTAGTCTAGATGAGATGAAGGAGTTGAGAATGAAGAACTAAAATGTTTCATATTTTGAAAGGCAAAAAGAAAAAAATATTCTTCCCCTTATATTTATTAGTAATGATATCACGTAGTTACTTATCGTTTTACACCTCAGTTTTGCTGTAAAATGTAACAGACTGTTAATTTTCTTTAAAAGAGGATTTCTACTTTAAAAATATGAGACACCGGCCAAATAAAACTTTCACTTATAGATAGATAATTTTGATATTACGATTAGCTATTTTATATTTTTAATAGAGTACATTCTCGTCTAGACCAACTCTTGTCTAATAAAATCAAACACAATCCTTTAGTCAGGGTGAGATCACGTATGTACACACTTATAAAAGTTTTAAATAGATTGACGCGTGAATGTAGTTCGAATAAATTAACTAGTTTGTTTCTATTAAACACAGCGGCCGGCCGTTCGGACTGCTTAATTTTTGTTATATATATCTATAGTCGCTGTTTTAATATATATACACAACATAAACGAAACGCTAACAATATGAAATCTCATTTCAGTGATCCGAAATTACGGCAGAATGCAAAGAAATCTCAACCTAAGCTTCCGATGAATCTATCCGTCCGTCAAACTGACAACCATGATGATAGCGATTTAGGTAAGCTTGCGATTTTCTTTTTATTTAAATAATATAAATATAATATAATATTTGAAATAGCAAACAACAGAATACACATCTATAATCTATAATCCGGTCTTTTAATTCCGAAGAAAGTTTGTGAAATTATAATAAATTAAAATTCTAATTATCTATTGACTAACCACTAGCAAATGTTTTTAATTCACTCATCAAGCAAAATGACATAACCGCAGTCTGCACTGCAGTACGTTTGGCGGTTTATAAAAACCGTTTGTTATTTCAACCATTACTCATCCATAATAACTGTCAATGTGAATGTTAAATACAGTATTATAATTAGCTATTCAGCCACGGCCACATTGATATTTAATAGAGCAACAACCTACTAGCGAATTATTTCTGAAATTTACACTTAACATTTTACTATGTAAAATATTTTGTTTATAATATTTATGCCTTGCCTATTAAAATAACCATCTAAGTAAAATTATATTCTTAGTTGCTCAACTTTTCTCCGCTTAATTTTATAATTGTAATAAATCGTTGAATTGACGTTATACTGATTTGAAAGTAGAAAGAATGGCGGCTTTCATATAAATGAATAATAGTGTTGTAAATTATAAATATGTCGATAGTTAAAATTTAATCCTTTTATTTCAGAGAGTTTTGACGTTTATAATATAGAAACAGCATTGCCGAAATTAGATTTAGATGCAATTGAAAGTCATATAAAGGCAGCAAAAGAAGCGGAACGAAGAGTAAGTTTTATAAATGTCATTACTAATATTTAAAGACACGTAGCTTTATTCATTACAGGAAGTACAAATTAGCTAACCTTTCTCTTAATATTACTATGACAATAATGAAACAAATTTTAAATTACTGCTTCAAATTTGGCGCTTAATAATATAACTGTACTTGCATACATTCACGTGAGCTTCGCGTCTCTCTCATGCAGTTAATAAGCAGATACGTATATATTATTAACAGTTAAAATTGCCAATACAATCGGTACTCAACTCAGCTTTCTACGGTGATTCAACAGTGTAGGCACTACAGTTGCCGTTCTTTGTTACATTCATTTTATACTTCGTTAGTAGAGACAGACGGCTTGACGCCTGTTTTGTTAAGTTGTTTTCTTAGTAGATATATTTGCATTTCCTGTAATGGCGTCAATGCCTTACTTTAATCCTGAACAAAGACATTACAAAAAGGACACAAGATTTCTTTTGGATTTATATACGATTACATATGACAACCATGAATCCGTCGATAACATTTGTTGCCTTGTAAGTATTTCTTTTTTTTTTGTTATTATATGCGCCATTGCTGACAGCTCTAGCGACTTATCGATATTCGCTATTACCATAAAGCAAAAAGACGACAAATTAGAAATGGAGCACGCGTTTGTCCTTGCCCTAAATGTCAATAATGACAGGATTGACAGGATGGGGACAACAGCAAGATTACCTACATACAGTTTTTATAAAAATTTTTGCGTTCATGTTTGTCACGTATAATTATACATAACACAAATTAACATAACATTGTGATTATTGCCAAATATTAAAGACTGACTAGTGTAAAAATGTTCGAGAGTTTTTTGTCTAACATTAAGAGAAAATTTAATAAACCATCTGATGAGATAAACACGATAAACAAAGAAAAAACAGGATTCAGAAAGAGTATTCATAATATCAAAATGAAATTTTTAAAGCCAAATCCTCCTGATATACCAACATTAGATGAATATAGTAATACTGCTTTAAGTCCTCGGGCCGTTGGTGTGGGAGAATGTGCCTTAACAGACATTGAGTGGCCATCCACAGTTGACAACAATCCTAATGTTTTAGACAAATTTACGAAAATAGTTACCATAGTCGAAGTCCCGTACAAAGATAGGAATGTATGATAACGTTTTTCTCTTTATAATTTGTGTTTTAAATGTCGATAGACAAAGTGGCAGTCAAAGCATGTTTACCACTTTATGGTAAGTGGTGTATGTGGTTTTACACCTTCAGCCTCTAATTGACTGGTTGACGGTGTATTACCATCACCAGACTGGAATATCACCAGTGTTATGAGTAAATGATGCACAGAAATTGAGAAGCACAATAGCTTATTAATACATCAACAGCTGCCACATGATTTTTTTTTTACTGAAGAAATTTTTATATTATCTATAGTCAACAATACATTTTCTTATTATTTTTGACAGAAACGTAATGACAGAGAGGAAATTAGAAAGAGATTGGCGATGGGAGCCGACACCGAGGAGTATTACAGTTTAGGACATACTGACCGTCCAGGAAAGAAACCTAGTTTACACTCAAGACTTCAAAATGGTAAGCTTGAAATATAATTAGATATTGCTTGGGATGCAAATTCATTCATTGTCTAAGTTTTAACAAGCACATTAAACCATTTTCCTGTTCAGTTTCTAAGGGCGAACTCTTTGTGGTGATTTTTGTTATGTTAAATAATATAAACTGTTGTGAAGATAATCAATTTCAGTTACTTATGCTGAGATTTTATCTTGTATAAGCAATATTATTCCATGTCAATAATGGTTTGATAATAACATAGTTTTAATAACCATATGGAAAAAAAATATATGTCATTGGACAACTCACCAAAATTGCAGATAAAAAATTGTTTTGGGCTGCTCTCGCAATACTTATGTAAAGGATTTAATCTTGTGAAATTAATCTACAATAAGACTTGAAATATTTAACATTTTTACTTTCCTCACATCTTGATGGCATTTTAAATATTACTTTCTAGAGCTTGACAAGTTGTTTTATTTAAATTCTGTTAAATAAGCAATCATTCCTGTTTGTGTCATATATGTGTATCATTTTGTATATAACATATTATGTTTTTGTGGTGGTGGTACAGGAAAAAATCTTCAAATTTGTTTCATGAATGAAACGGCATCAGATAACGAATCTCAGGCATCAGATTTAGAGCACAACTCGAATTGTAATAGTAATAGTTCATCACGATCGAGTCTGTTCAGTAAAAACAGTTATAACCATCCATATCAGACTCGGCCATTATCCGTTAATATTACAAAACATGAGAAAAATCCTCCGACAGGTAAGTGTGACCCAGCATGCAACATTTTTTTATGTAATCATTGTTATAATGTCACACAGTTAAATTTTTCAACTGCTATTGTTAGCTTCTTAGTAGGCAATTGTTTTTATTTTTTTTCAATTAATATAAATTGGTTGTAATATGTAATTATTCTTGTAGTTCATTTTTTGTATTATAAGCTTTAATATTTTTTAATTTATTCATAGTATTAATTTTATATACCAAATGTTTTGCTTTGTATTTATTATGATAGGTAGATACTTAAAAAGTATGCTGACATTTAAAACATCAAATCAAACAGAGTTACTTCCTTCCAGAGCTTTTCTTAATTAATGTTTTGGATTTTTTAACTTATATATTTAGTTTTAGCTTATTTTGGTTGCAATAAATTTTGATTATGAAACATGAGGTCAATGACCTAGTTCTTTTTATTAATTAGTTTTATGTTGTCATTAATTATATTGGTTAATAATTTTTAATATAAATGATGTTATAGGTGCAAAGCTTCATCCAACTTCCCTTATGTTTAAATCCAAGTCTCGGTCCACACATTCTTTGGGACACATTGAATTGAAGGAATCTGATTTCTATGCTCTGCAAGCGACTCTTCAGACTGAGGCAAGGATAGCACTCGCTCAGGCTAAAGAGATGGCTCGCATACAGATGGAGGTAAGGGATATTATATTTTACAAGTTATTTGACTACAACATATATAACCAATCTTCATTTTAAGATATTTTCTGTTGCAATACTTATAATCCATATTCCATAGTATTTAACTGACAGATTAACCTTTATAAATTTATATTGTTTTTGAAAAGAAATGTTGCTTTGTTTTGTAAGTATGAAATGAAATTTGATGAATATCTTCGGATATGTTAGTAACTTTACCATAAGTGAAGAATCTAATTAAATACTGTGCATTAATTATGTTGATTTTATTATAAGTGAAGTTTTAAAAATGAATACTGGAAACATTCCGTATATAGTCTCAAGAATAAAACTTGTAGTAGAGAAACTTATTAAATTAAACCTATTACATCTAAGATAGTAGGAAACAGAATGAAATGTATTTTTTTATGTATTTGGTTATAACTAATGACACTTTTCTATGACAAGCGTGAACGTCGGTCTAGACCAGTCTCCCCGGTAACCGAGATGCTTCGACGTAGTATGGAGAAAGCGAACGCACCGCTCGCCGCAGACCGACGACGAGTCTCCAGACATTTACTCACTGATATGAACATAGCACAGCTACAGGTATACACCCATAAATATATACAAACATATCTTTATATACAGGGTGACTGGTGAATTACTATCAATATTTGAGGATGTGATATTTGACGATCATATATGACAAAATAAAAATTAATATAACATAAATATTAATAAACTTCTAAGTAATGTTAACCAAAAGTTATGTAATTAATTACGCATCGTGTGAACACCCTACAGATTAGGTATACACACACACACACGTCCACACGTCCACACGTGGAACACTTGGAACGTGTCCATGCTTTATTTATTTATACGGAAATTTGGTCAAAAATTAAGTACCTATTTTTTTTACATAATTCGAATGAGAATCATGTACCGAGTATTCTCCTAAAATATTGATAGTAATTCACCAGTCACCCTGTATATAATTCTTCTGTGAGTGTGTATGTCACAGAACTTCTCTCAAACGACTGGACCGATTTTAGTGAAATTTTTTGTGTGTGTTCAAGGGGATCTCGGAATTGTTTAGATTCACAATTTTGTCCGCTGGACAATGTTTTTTTAATTATTTTTTAATTTATTAGTAGTTGTTGATAAAAAAAATTTGACATTTGATTTGACAACTAACTTATATGTCAATCATTCTGTCACACTTCAAAACACGGAGATTTATGGCTTTAATGGGTAAACTCCAAAAATATAAATAAAAAACGTAACAGATATTTCTTGATTATAGGGCGATATGAAGTTCGCCGGGTCTTCTAGTAAATATATATAACATTAACTAAAGCTATAACACAAATCAGGGAAACATATTGTTCATAGAAACGTTACTTTCTTTTTTAAATTTCGAATAGATAAAAAATCCTTGGCACGATTCAAAATTGGAACTTGTGACTTATGGAACAACTCTAGTTATATTACTTGGAGTATTAATCTTTATGACGTCACAAATCCTAATGCTTAACTCACTGTACCATCGTACAATTTAAAATCAACCTTATGCTACTACATATTAGTAGGGTATTTCATTGGCAATATCCTCATTTTTGATTGCCTATTAATGAAACTTGTCCGACCTTTGTTTTTTGTGATGATGCAAATACGTATTAAGGTTATATTTTTTTATTCTTAATACAGTAGTATGAGTTTCCATCGTAAGATATTATTATTAAATGAAACTGTACAGGCTTATTTCATTATCAGCCTAGTGGTTCCTACGGCTGAGCAAACGCGTTTTCTCACATGGATAAGGTTAGAGCATTAATCACCACGCTTGCTCAAGACGGATTGACGATTTCGAACCATTAATTTGAAATTATAAGTCCAGATCTCCTCACGATGTTTTTCTTCAGAGTCTGTCAGTGGTGTCTAAATACTCTTACAAAAGTACATATGATTAAAAAAAAATCACATTGGTACTTGCCAGGATTCGAACCCGCGCCCTCATACATGAAAGGGGGACATTTAACTACTAGGCTACCATGCCACATATATATTTAATTAGTATTCTTTTATACAAATTATTTTATTACGTTTCATTCGGCCAATTTGCTAGATTCCAGTTGTTTTTTTTTCAATGTATTTTATGCACGACCTTGCAATTTGCCTTCAGTTGGTTTTGCATCGACTCATGCGTAACATCCGATAACAAAATGCCATTGTTTGAAGATTGTGACGTCATCACGACAAGTATAATTACGAAGCTGACAAAATTTTTGTTGTATAGTAAAAAATAAACTAGGTCAATACTGACAAATATGGAATAAAATACGTATATATCCACTGATTTGTATAAAATTTATTAATGTAGAGGGAAAAAAATACTCATACTAGTGTCTAAATATGTATTTTATGTCAATTTATAGCATTTTTCAAATATTTCATTATTTGATTTTGTGATAAAAAAAGACCTTCTACTTATTGGTCAGCACAATTTCAAATAGAGAACTAAAAAAGTTAGTAATGAATTTATAAGTTACATGAAAAATATATTTTTAAAAATAATGTATAATACTTTACAACAATAGTCATTTTTTATATATTTATATTCTTTGTTTCATTTGTAAACCATTTAAAAGTCGCTGCAAAATTTTAGTATCATGAGAATAATCATACTTTTAGATATAACCTTATATGTGAATTTCCTTTACAAAGTTTAAGGAGTCGAAACAGTGACCTACGGAATATAGAAATTATTAATTTATCATTTAATTTGTATTCTACTTTAATAATACTTGAACACAAAAACACATTATTATACTACAATAATCTTTATACCTAGTAAACTACATATTTATCGTTTCAAGGTTTTCATAAAATACGGATTAAACTATTGAAGATTCAGTAATTAATATTGTATACGATTATAGCTCTAATCATTATAGTAAGATGATCCAGTTTCGCTTGAACCAACATAATAGTCATTTGACTGTCCAAATCATATTAAGAGTTGTGACAGTTTAGCTTGGATTTGATTTTATTGCCATGACCATATTAACTCTGTCTTAAATTTATCTCTAATCATTAATACTATTTATGTTTGCAATATCTTCTATATCTATATTCCTTTACGATTTGTTTATGGTCAACCATAGACAAAGTCTCAACAACTAATTGAAAAATAAAAACAACAATTTAGTGAAAATATAAAATGCTTTTTATATTAAATAAATGTTATTTTTTTTCTATTTACAGGTGATCGTGAATGAACTCCACTCTCAAATAGAATCGTTGAACGACGCGCTTGTTAAATTTTTGATGGCGCGCGACGAATTACACATGGGCCAGGACTCAATGCTTGTTGATATTGAAGATCTGACTAGATATCTGTGAGTATATAATATATAAAATAATATATAATAACAATAATCATATTAAATTTAATATTGACAAAGAAACAATATTTGACATGTGATAGATAAAAAATGCAGATAAAATATAGATTAAAAATAATGATGATAAAAAGATACCTATATTGTCTATGACGTTTATATATTTGTGCCATAAATTATATAATTTAAATATTATTAGATTTATATACATATATTAAAATGTACATTGATGCAGATATATGAAGTTTGAATACTATGGAAACATGAATTGAAGACGGATTGGTTTTTTTGGGGGTATTTTTTTTGTGTATGTTTAATTTATTAATACATTCTTATCATGTTTAGTAATTTTCATTGAATAAATTTTCATTACGAAAAATAAAAATAGATGCACAGCATTTACATCCACAGAATATTCCATTAAAACAATATGGCATGGTTTTTGTATATATTTTTTAAATTTTTGTCTTCATAATATTTTCATTACCTCCATCTATAATCAACCTTATAAATCCACTTAAGTAATTCATAATATATACACTTTTATTCCTATATTTTCACTTTATATAGCTTTAATATTTGAAATGAAAATTACTTATTAAAAGTTATACTTAAATATATGTAAATGTATTTTCAGAGGAGTTCGAGAGCAAACTAAGAAGACAAAAGGCAATCAGAAGTCTGGAGTGAAAAGATTCACATCTTTGGTCCAGAACTGAGAACATCCTGTATAATCAACATATAATGTTATTTATAACATCTATATAATGTATAATTAGACACATTTACTCCCAACAGATATTTGTACGCTATGTTCGTTGTAATCTATATTTAATGATATATAAATTGCTGAAAAATTATATCCAATATGAAATAAAGCAAGCGTTCATATCTATATAGCTATCTTTGTATTGTTAACATGATGTTCTATAATGAGACGTCCATAAATATAAATACGAAATGACATATACAGGGTGTTAGTAACTCGAGTATCAATGCATTTGTATCTTAATTACAGTTCAAACACTGGGTATGTAACACCCTGTATAATGTCAACGTTAAACGTTTCGAGTTTCGTGAGATTAGTACAAGATTGTTGTTCATATTTAAGATCATGTATGTCTGAATTATACTAAGCTGTGTCGCTTTAAAATGAATTTTGTTTCAAATTCTAGTTGATTGAATTGAACACATGTCATTCCAATTGTTCGATAACATAAAATCTTATTGGTACCATTTTAAATATCATAGTATACATGAATGTATATAAGTTTTTTTTGTTAGTGTTTCTCTTTGTATAGTTGTATATTCATTTGTATGCTTATATGATAGGACTGTAGTGAATTTGTGATTTGCAAATTAGATTGATATTTTTTCATGATAGTGCTCATTTATTAGATTATTATATTATTAACGCCACTGTGGCTCAGACGATACAGGGTGAACATGGCAAGCTTGGGCCAGTTTGGGCCGGTTTGGGCCAGTCTCAAATGTACAATACACAAATGTTAATTTAGTTTATATGGAATATCTATTCTATACATTATAAATCCTGTTTTGATTAATTGAAAATGTAATTTTTACTATATATTTTTTGTTTTGGCCCAAGTTTGTAATTGGACATTGAATTTGTGACAGAAATGGTGTTACAACAACCGTCTATAATGTCTATGGTTGTGTTACATCAAATGTTCCAAAGATTATAGTCTATGGCCAGCTTTGATATTCAATAGATAAAAAACTATAACTAGCAAATTGTAGCCAAGCACAGTACACATAAATTTTCATAGTTATTTATACATAGCAAAATGGATATATAATCTTGAAATCTCTGGGTAAAGAAAATCTTTTATGGGGATGTTATTTACTTAATATTGTTATTTGTTGTTCAATAGTGTTATGGGATGGGTTTGATATTATTTCAGCACTAATCGCAAATAATATTATAAAAGGGACTTTGTGAAGATATTTGTAAATGGACTCAACGCCATCTTTGTAGTTATAAATATTGTTAAGTATACAACATAATCATTGCTCTATATCTTGTTATTTCTTTTCGAGAATCTTCTAGACTTTTAGGTCATATTCAGACATTTTTTAAAATCATCTTCTATCTGTGGCAGCGACGTCATTTTGAATTTGAATTCAATACAATGTGAATCCTTTCTTGATGCATTTAGGCTGTATTTTTTTTATATTGTGATCTCTTAATATATATACTAACAGGACGATCTAATAGTAAGTCTGACAGCTACTTTGAATTTAATCTTTATTAGTTCAACATAAGGTCGAATTTTCTTTCTTTATATTTTACTGATGATATTATGAGATTTAAAAAGAAGTCCTTAGTTTTTTTTTCTTTGAAATCTAAGTTACCACGATTTGTTTGTTGTAAGTTTTATTTTATCCTTACAATTTTATTTACGATTAGGTATTCTTAATTATTGAATGTGTGTGAAAAAACAAATGAAAACCCAATTACTTGTCAGTTTTGCCTTATCATAAATGATTAGTAACATAACACAGATATATAATGATAACCAAGACTTTCGCGAGTATTCATTTAAATAAAAGTAATATTTTCGAATGTGCTACGTGTTTCTTATTAGTTTAAACCACCTTCACCCGACAATTCGGTTGCAAAGTAACCGAAACGTCGGGAGTATGTAGTTAAAATAATAAGAAACGCGTAGTAAAACCTAAAATAATACTTTTATTTAAGTAACAGGTATATATCATAAAATTTTAAATCACTCTTAAGATGTGATTTTGTAACAGTTTTTCATACTTCAATCGCAGAAATTACGTAATTTAAATAACATAAAACTTATTTTAAAATATATGTATATACATATTAAGTATTACATAAAAGGTTTTTCAATATGAACTTGCGATTTCATTCTGAATAAATTATTACGCCATTGTAATTAATTTACTTTATAAATCATTTGACAGCTGTCAAGTTCACATTTATATAGCGTTTTGATATAACCTGTAATTGTTTGAAATATATTTATAATTGAATCAGTGAAATACAGATACTATGCATGTTTTAATAGTTAGATGAATACTGCTTGCGATATAAGTAAGCTTGGCTTATTGGAAACATTCTTACGGACATGTGATAAATAACTATTGACTTCTTAATAAATAAGAAAGTGTTTCATTCGTTTTTTATTTCTGACCTCTCTATATAAATATTAAATACGTGTTTATTCTCGCATATTATATGATGTTTTATATAATTAGTTTATGTCAATGAATTCAGGTATGCATGGAATTTATTCTGTAAATGAATTGTTATATGTCTTATGTCATTATTTCGTAACGGGATGACAAGTTTTTGCAATTTACATGACTTAGTGTGCCTATTTCATAATATCTGATACCTATCCTCATGGTTATAATAGAAAAATCTTCTTTATAATTATCATAAGTTTACATCGTCGCACTAAAGACGAAGTGTTTCCCGTTTCTCATTCAATAACCTACCATAATACTGTAAAATGTAATAATTAAGATTAATGAATGAAAACCTGTTTAAGCTCCGTGTACAGTGCTACCATGAAAAATTGTGTTAAACATACATATTTAGAATTAATATTATAATAAACTATTTGAAACGTTCTCCTACAGTACTTTAAAAAATATGTTTAATAAATTTATTTCTCAATAAAAACAAAGATTCTTTTGTTAAAAAAATTAGAATCCATTACATATTTGTCAATTCCGTTTATTATTTGATAAAAAAGTCATTCTTAATTTATTTTTCGAGATTTAAGGATCCACACACTACATCTTTTTATTAATACGTGAAAAAATGTTTCCAGTACCAGTTTAGTGTTGCTAAAAAAAATTTAGAAAAATATTTCTTAAAGTAAATATGGATTGCAGACTACAGGTGTATCCTGCTAGTTACATTCTGACTGAAAAAACTACCAGTTAACCTTACTAACCTGTACTAGTTTCATATATAGAACTAACTGTTATCCAACTCTGCTTGTCTTTAATAAACTATAAAAATTATATCACCTGTCAAGTCAAATTGTAAGTTTTTTAACCATGTACACATCAAAGAAAATCAGATCGCATATGTAACCATTTTAAGTTTATGTTTGAATATTTATGAAAATACTTCTCTAAACAACGTTCATTTATTTGTTCTAAAGAAATTCGATTACGAATATTAATAAAGAAACCGTACTTTAAAAACAAGAATCTAAATAAAATATATATTTTTTAAGTTGTTTAGAACAAAAACATTTTCTATTTATTAAATTTTTTTACATGAAATTTATGTAAAATTGTATAATTTAATGATTTCTAAGATTTTCGCGAATACATATAAGCAAAGCAAACGTGTTCATATATTATTACTTTAAATATTTAATTAGTTCTGAAATGAATATACATTGCATATTAAAATAATGACTTTTTTATAAAACTACCAACTGAGTTGCATAAGTAATGTTATTCTTGAATTAATATGTACGGGATAGGTTGTCTCTGGGTTTTATAACTAATTCATACAATATTAAATTCTTCTAGTAGTAGAAAAGCTTAGCTTTGCTTAAAGCTTTTAGAAAACCTTTGTACAAAATGATTGTTGTTTTGCTGTAAAGTAACCGAAAGGTCGGGAGTACTTAGTTTATAATTAAAAATAAAAATCGCGTAGTACATTTGAAAAATATTAGTTTCATTTAAAATGATTGTTCTTCAACATCATTTCGAGACTTAATCATAATAAAACAAACCAGATATCATGTTAAATAATCATAACATAATTCAATCTAACGTAACTATTTCACGAAGTAATCAACGTATGTTATCGCAAGTGATGGCATTAATTAACCCCGCAACGGGTCAGTTCCCACCATAACCATGAATACATCGATGTCAAAACCACCGTTGACCCCAAAACTTCCTCACCTGCGCGCCCCAGGTGCGTCCGAGCAATTAAAATCCTCTAATAACATATACATATACAATATATTTGTTTTACTATCTATATCTATATTGCGAATGCTTCGATTGCTGTCCATCCCGCGGAATATTTATCTATTATATCTATACAATTTATAGTTCCAATAGACCCCTTATCTAAATCTACATTAGAAGGACGAGGTGAAAGGTATTTAATTGTGCGAACATTTGCAGCGATATCTTTTTTATTGCTTACTTATTTAGGGATTAATTGATTTTTCCATGGGAACTAATGCACATTTTTAATTGTCTTATAATTGATTTATGTCGGCGATGTTTTAGATTGGTGATAAGTTTCTTTACTATCGCTTTAAGTTGTGTTAAAAAAATGTTATTTATGTATGAATTACATTATAACACAAAAAATCATTAAAAATTATTTCCAAACTAACTTTTTTCTATTGGATTGTAATGTTTATTCCGTTTTAAATCTATAGTTTCTATGTATAACTGTTAGCGTCGTGGATGAGCGCTATGCAAATCAGAATGTACATGCGGGCGCGCGTAACCACACCACCGACAAATGGCTCGCATTGATCTGTCTTATTGAATTTATTATTATTATTTTTTTCCTAACAAAACTACAACATTTTAAAGACTTTCACTATTTAATATATAATGTAGATGAAATAAAACCAATATTCATTTTTAATACTGTAATTTAAAACATAAATTAAATAGATATAAAGAAAAATCACTATAAAATACCTTGGCATTTTTTACTATGTACCTAGCT